AAAATTTTTGCCGATCACTTGTTCCAGCCAATCAGATACCAGAAATGAACTATACGAACAGTACGTACAGTACGTACAGTACGTACTGTACGCTAAAATTTTCCAGGTATCATATAAATGGCACATCACTAGGTATGACCTTGTGATTTTCGTGTTGTTGATAACGGGAAATTCGAGATTCTAATTATATTTTTCAATTAGTAATGTTTAAAATTCATTGAATCTAAAATTTCCGGAGAATTAAAAAAATCTTGTTATATTGATTTGCAGAGGTCACACCTTTTGCAAACCGCAGTAATTCCTTTGAAAAGTTTTATTAAAATTTTTAATAATTTTCATTAGCCAAGCCTGATTCATAGAGCATGACATATTGAGAGCTTGTATGGTTTTCCTTAAAATTTGTGACGGTAGTATCTATCTTTTTACTTACAAATTTGATATGATTTTTATATAAATTCAATTTTTATTGATTTTTTTTTTATTCCGTAAAACTTTTTTTTTAAAAAAAAAATTTCGAATCAGACCTTTTATTTTTGAACTTAATTCTTTTATGGAAGTCCGTATCTTTAAAATTTTGGTTTTTCTTGATCATTCATTTTGACTTAAGTCATTTTTTTTAGTAACAATGTATTGGCATAAGATTTAAAGTTTATCGATTTTATTATATTTATTTTAATTCAACCATTAATTTTAATTTTTAAAAAAGAAAAAAAAAATTAAAACTAAAAAAGGACTATATTTTATTATAATTAATTTTAATTCAAAATATCGACTAAAATAACTTCAAATTAAAGAACTCAAAGGGCATAATAAAATTGATATAGGTATTGAATTAAAACACGACAATATAAAAAGATTAAAGTAACAATAAGAAAAGATGCTTATTATCTTTTTGAAGACTAAGAATTAAGATTACTTTTTGATAATATAAATTGAAATTTTGAGCTATAAATACATAGCAAATTAATAAATGGGCTTGTATTAAAGATTACACAACGTCTATGTAGTGTAGCTCATTCTTGGTAATTTTTACCATTTGCCACTATCACCGTTACCATTCCCGTCACCACTCAAGATCGGCAAGACCGAGTCACCACTCAAGATCGGGATGTTGTCATGATTCGCGATGTCTGAGATTTAACAATTATTTTGCATTAATTGTTAATAGTTAATCAGAGAAACTACGTTTAAAATCACTGTATTAATTATACTTACTATCTACGAAAGTGCATTATAAGTTATAAAGAATGAGAAAAACGCATCATTAATATATAATTTTTAAAATCAAATGATAATTCATCTTTAATAAAACAAACAATACACGTACTTCCTAAAATTTTATAATTTTAACATTAATTATTAATAGTTAATCAAAGGGGCAATATTTAAATTATTAATTAAACTTTATAGTTACCGTCTAGGACATCGACTTTGTTGGCACCATTAAGGATGGGTACACCTACACCTACTATAAAATTCGAAAGAATGATTTCATGAGGATAAAGTTCTGTGCGTTTATAATTTTTTAAAAAATATAATAAATATGCACTCACAAATGCCTGCTTAATGGTAAAAGATATAGAAAAGTATATTAATAAATTAATAAAATTTAAAGCGCGATCCAGAGAAGAAATAAGAAGAAATATAATGAATCTATGCTCACCATCACCAGCGCCTTAATTTGGTAAAAGATATAGAAAAATAGGTTATAAATTAATAAAATTTAAAGCACGATCCAGAGAAGAATTAAGAAGAAATATAATGTATCTATACTCACCATTACCAGCTATCATTAATTTGATGAAAGCATATGAAAGATTTATTAATAAATTTTAAGGAAAATGAATTGAAGAATAAATAGAATGAATCTATGCTCACCACTAACACCTATCATTAATTTGATGAAAGCATATGAAAGATTAATTAATAAATTTTAAAGGAAAATGAATTGAAGAATAAATATAATAAATCCATGCTCGCACCTTCTCCATTAGGAACGGGAATTGCCAAAGTGACAATTGGAAGAATGATGAAGGAAATGAGCAAAAGGAAAACGAATTTGGATTGCATTGTTGAAGGTTTTTTGGGAATTTTTTGAGGAAATAAAATCAAAATTGATAGAGAGGATATAGATAGGATAGTAGGATAAGAGGTAATTAGCAATTAGCAGAGAACGGAAGTTTTGGAACGAATTTTCACAGCTCATTTTCGCCCTGTATTTATAGCTATCAGAAACTATAGCAGATATACTTTGGATTTCACGATTACACACGTTCATGTTTATTATTTAGACGGATATTATTTAGACGGAAAGAGAGACAACGAAATGCACACAACAAATTTCAATGCATTAAATGAATATTAGTTTGTTTATTCTTTACGACATGTTTGAAAAATTATCTACCGATGCAATTGAAGCAAGTAATAAATTTCTTATTTAATATAATTCACCAATTGAAAAATTTACATGATAGTTTATTTGTTCTTTATGACACGTTAATGATGTTAATAATGCCTATTAATTATCTTAATAATTACCCGATTTATTTACCTTAGATTCATATATTCTATTGAACTTATGTAATTAAATACAATTCGTTCCTTTTGTTTTGATAGAAATTTGAGTCGATACAAAAAAGGATAATAAAAATTTTTATGTCCATTATTAGTTATTAATTGAATTAAAAAACTCTATACGTGCCTTACGTACTATTGTTTGTTTATTTTTTTAACGGATCGAATAATCACAATAATTACCATATTTCGCTACGAAGTCGCGTGCTAATTTAGTACGTACCTCAATGTATATTGCATACTAATGTCACACTAGAGAAGCAGGAGAATTAATTACACACGTGTAGAAATCGGCCAATAATTCCACACTTGTGGAATTGATAATTTTAGTAACTCGTCAAGCGTTAGAATTACTAAAATTATTTATGATCATCAATTCTACAATTATACATTGTGGAATTGGTCAATTCTACAATTCTACGTAGAATTAAGAATTGATGATCATTAATAATTTTAGTAATTCTGCTAAATTCTAACACTTGACGAGTTACTAAAATTATCAATTTCACAATGTACATTGTTGGAATTGTTGAAATTACGTACTGTATTATTATGCATGTAGAATTGTAGGATTACTAAAATTATTATCATTTCGTTTTTTTGTTTAATTGAATGTCGTACGTACACATGTAAGCACACTCTTAGCAGATTCTTAATATAATTATTAAATCTTAATAATAGTAAAACCCTAATCATAAAAAAAAAATTTAAACACCGATCTATTTCAATTAATATAAAAAAAATTTTATTTTATAAATTATATTAATATGTTCACTCCTACGATAAACTGCAGCAGAACTGGGGAAGAAATAACTAAATGTATTTAATAAATTTTGCCTCAATCATAATAATTTAATAATTGAATTCTTTAATGAACATTCCTTACGTGGTTCTCTATTCTCCACAATTTATGGGAAAAGGCAATGAAGTGCATGTAGGGGGTTAATAATCGTAGTTATACCGTTATGTGCCAGGTACAGAAGTAACAATGTTATACATCCTTTTTAATTACGATAGAAATATTGGCTGATACAAGTCAAATAATGACCTAAAGAATTATACTTAATTCACTCCGAAATTTATTAATTAACGGTTAAAGATATTTAATGTACGCTTATTCATATGTGCATTACATCATATGGACTAAGGAAATGCTATGCATGTAATAAAATCTTATTTGCTAGATTCAAAAAAACTGTTACATGTAATTTCTATATCAATTAATCAATGATAGTTAGATTTAGTTTGATTAACGCATTTTTATTGGCTATACTAAGTATGGTCCGCTTCAATAATCACGTGTACGTAGGTCAATCCCAATAATTTTAATTTTAAGTTGTGGTGTATCGATGTATATTTTTGAAATCGGTTAAAGTACAAATATTTAAATCAGAACTTCTTGGGTTTGATCCAAAATTCTCGACATTGCTCGTACTTTGAGTCTTTTCTATACAGGAAACACCGGCTCACTAGAATTTATCCGTTTATTAACATTGACTTGAGTCGAGAGAATTTTTTGGCCCATGACCAGTCAATCTTACCAAGCTATTCATTTCTAATACTAACGTTAAGTTATTATTAATTAGGTGTCTTGTAAATTTTTTGCGTTAACATATATGTAAGTAGGTACGTACATGCATAAAAAAATATCATACAAAAAATGCGAATTACTAAATTGGTACTTTTGGCTGGAGAACGTACATGAACTTAAACTTTTATAGTAAACAATGCATCAACGTTAAGATTTTATCTACTAATTACAGTAGCTATTCATACAGTAATGCATTAATCAAATAAATCTTAATTACTGTAGAAAGTCCGATTCGATTCCAAAAGTAAACCAGGCTTGGAAATTCGACTCTCAGCACGTTCATCTAGTAAATTTAAATATGCACATTTTTTATGTTATATTGTATCTAAATATACAAATGTAAATGCGAGTCATTTTTATAAATCCCGGACGCCTAAAAAATTGCCCGTCCTCCGAAAACTCTTCGGTCTCGCTTAAGAATCTCCTAACTTTTGGAAATACGTCAATGTCTCTGTATCGAAGATAGACGATTCTTAGGACGAGATCGAAGAGGAGCAAATTTTTAGGTTCCCAAAATTTATGAAAACAGCTGTAATATTGTAATAAAGACGGCTTTTTGAGCCGAATCGGACCGAACTTTCTACATGGGGATATTATATCCTTGGCAGTATACAACGGTATTCTATAATAAGTAGATGCAACCAAAACAAAACCAACTCTTCAATAACTTTTTGGCGTTAGTGATTATACTTATTACAGCCTATCTTTGTGGTTTGTTATTGAAATTTATTCACTGCTAAATAAGTTAAAGCTGCATCATAACCACTTACCAAATTAAGTACTTATTCCCAAGTTATTCAATATTTTTCGAACGAATCATGGAATAACTAATTTCGAACCTTCTTTTCGAACACTTTCACATTCATTTAGAATTATAGATTACAACACGAACTAGAAATTTTGTATCACCGCTTCGGTAATAATAAGAAGTTGCAGAAATGAATAATTATTTTTGAATACTATCAATAAGGTTTTTTTTTTCTAACAAATTATTTGAATTTGATTGTAATTAGTAACGTAATTAATGCTCTGAATTAAAAAGTATTATTATTCAATTCATTTTGTGTTCAAAAATAATTGGAATTTCAGAATTAATGACTCTGATGAAAAAAGTTTTTTTTTTTTTTTACAAGTCTTAATTTTATTTTCAAATTCTGTATATTCTTGTTCATGACAATTATTAAGTTTGTAAATATAATCGTCATTAGAAACACAGTTTTGTCAAGATTATATTTAATTAAATTTTTTATTAATTTTCATAGTCGTCAGATGCTAAAATTCTACCGCTACGAGTACTATAAACCAATTAGGGTTTGCAAAGTTGGTTGACTTTTTAGAAATCGGCTTAGTCGGCTTTTACAACTATTATTATAAATTCTGGAACAATTGAACAATTACCGACAACAGAATTGTTAAGTTGCCGCAGTAAGTTACCAACTTTAATCGATATAAGAAACTTACCAATTTTGGTCATCAACAATTTTTCAATCGTCCAGTATTTATGATAATTGCTGTAATAAAAATAGAATTTATCACGTTCTGAATTTATAATTACATATTTACGTTATAGAACTCTGAATCTCAGATATATATTTTGCATGTGTTCGTAATTCTGTGAATTCAGAATTCAAGTAAGTGGGTTTGGATTTTAAACGAGCTTAGATTAAACAAAATTATTATAAATAGTTTACTTACACATTGAATTTAATTTCAAAGATCACTTCTGGATTATACTTATGTTTAATTACTTAGCCGACTAAGCCAACCAAGTCAACAAAATTGATTTTTATAACATCGACTTAGTAATGAGGATTTGAAATCTATAATTATCGGGGCTCAACTCTTGAATAGCATATGTCATTTATCAGAGTTATTCAGACGCAAAGTTGATTTTCGTTTGGCATTACCCGTAGACTCATTTTTTTTCAATTTTTCAAAAAAAAAATTTTTTTTTAAGTTCTTTTCCAATTTCCTGATTCCATATTATGCAAAGCGAAAAATTAACTTTGCGTGGCCTAAATGTGAAGACGAGTCTATTAATTTACTATAGATTAAAAAAAAAGAAAATCCGACCGACCAGAATTTTGAGATCCATGTAATGCAAAACGAAAAATCAACTTTATGTGGCCTTAATTCCGAAAATTATAAGCTTTAAAGCCTGATGTCTCGTTTCTAGCAGTCTTCAAAATAATATAATTTTATATAGCCTCTACAGTTATATGCCTAATAAAGGTTATGTATATAAAAGCATACTATAAATTATCTTAGCAATTGTCAAAAAATAGTTGTTCTTTAATAATTTTCGTAATATTCGAAAAAAAAAATAATAATAAATTTTCGTTTTAAATATTGTTATAATTATGGTATCATAACTTATTCACACCTCATGCAATTATGCCGTAACTTAGCTTACCAAGTGCTTTTATGACTTATGGGTCAATTGGCCAGCATCATTGGTACTGTAGTCGCAGCTCCAGGTTTTTTTGTCCCAAATGATTATCACGATAAATTTTTTTGACCAATCAGATCGTCCGGTAAACACTCTTTAATTACTGTAACAGTGCCATGTGGGCTAGGGTTAGAAGATCTCTCTAGGTAAAATCGTTCTCCCAGCACTTTTTATTAATGCACCAAGAATGTTAAGACATTCATTTCTTGTATTTCGCATTTTTTTTTTTACTTTTTTTTTGTTTCATTGGATTGTTCCTCGTAAAGATTTCATGTGATTTTTTGGCTACGTTTCACAAATTGTTTATTCTGACGTACGTGAGTATGTGAAATACGTACTTACTCTCTAAAATTTCTCAACATGATTGCATTACCTCCTGAAAATTGCTATCAAAATCAATATTAGAATTGATTTAATCATCTTTAATGTAATTCGAAATCTTGCAAAATTTGATATCTTTAAACAAACGCTACAATATGATTTT